TCTTTTCTTCTGTGGTGCTGCTGGGTGGGTCCAGACTGCATTGGGCTACAGCCAAGTAACCTTTTGGGACCACCCAGAGACCTTCACTATAAGATCCAGCAGCATTACAGTACAACATGTGAGAGCTGGAACTCCATGCAATGCTTGTTTTTCTAAGTCTCGCGAGTTTCCCACCTTTGACGGGGTATAGCCCTACCTCTTTTCTGTTACTCGTTTGACTGGACAAGATGTGAGTTTTCCTCTTTTGACATGTTCCCTACTTCCATAAGTCCCAGCTCTCACAGAATAAGGTAATTCAGACTCAGTTGATAAAGGTCAGCCTTCTCCATTCCTTGGTCCTATTCTGTTTTGAAAAAAGCTAAAGTAATCAAGTTCTGAGAAGATTGAAAGAAGTCATCTCCCTCTGTAAGGGGTGTTGGTGGTATTGTGGATTAGGTGTTGGGCTGCTAACTACAAGGTTGGTAGTTCAAAGTGACCATGGGAGAAAGCTGAGGCTGTCTGTTCCTGTAAAGATTTACAGTCTCAGAAACCCTATAGAGGGTCACTGTGAGTCAGGATCCATTGGATGGCAGTGGATTTTGTTTTCTTTTGAGTCTTGTTTTGTGTTTACACATCTTTTTATGTGAATAAATTTAGGGGTTCATTTTTTCCCAGAACTGTTGACTGGGAACAAACCCTTACCCAAAATCTCATGTGTGGGCACCGTGTGTCCTTAGGTACAACTGTGAAGATGAACGCTGTTACTTAGACTTGGCAAGACTGAGAGGCGTCCACTACGTCACTTGGCGAAAAAGGAACAAAGTGTTTCCTCAAGATAAGGTAAAGTTCAACCACAGAACTCACCTTGTTTTGTCTTTTGATTGGTTTAAAAAGTATCTAGTTATTAATATGAAAAACTCTTATGGAATTTAACTCCCAAGGTAAACTTTCTCTGTACTAGTAAGTTGTTGTATTTTATATTAACAAGTTGGGGTGGAAGGGGGGAATGAAGAATTCTCTATCTTCAGTGTCATTATGTGTGAACTTTGGGCCTATAAACATCTATTAAAGGAATCCTGGTTGTGCTGTGGTTAAGATCCTTGACTACTAACCAAAAGGTGGGTGGTTTGAACCTACCAGCCACTCCGAGAGAGTATAGATGTACCAGTCTGCTCCCATAAAGATGGCAACCTTGCCAACGCTATGGAGCAGTTTTATCTGTCTTGTAGGGCTGCTATAAGGAGCTCTGGTAGCATAGTGGTTACGAATCGGGCTGAGAACCACAAGGTCAGCAGTTGGAAACTACCAGCTGTTCCGCGGAAGAAAGTGAGGCTTTCTGCTCCCGTAAAGATTCACAGCATCAGAAACCCCGTGCAGGGTTGCTATGAGTCGGAACTGACTCCACGGCACATAACAACAACAGGGCTGCTATGAGTCAGAATCATCTTGGTGGCAACGGTTTTTCTGGGTTTTGTCATTGTTGTTTGTTGTAAAGATCCATTAAGTTACGTAAACACCATCCTGTGAATCAGCAAACAGCCCTGTGGGTCAAATCAGACCCACTGCCTGTATTTGTAAATAAAGTTTTATTGGAACGCAGCCCAGACATTTTGTTAAGGATTGCCTATGTCAGCTTTTGCATTCCAACAGCAGAATTGAGGAGTTGTGATGGGGATTGTATGGTTTACAAAAGCTGAAAACATTTATTATCTGCTGTTAGTTTTGGTGTGGTGCTATAGGGTAAACACTGGACTGCTAACTGCAAGGTCGGCAATTCCAACCCACCAGTCACTCCTTGGAAACTCGACAGTGTCACTAGGAGTTGCTCTGACTCAATTGCACTTAACAAAAACAACGATTTTACAGAAGTGTGCTGACCCTTGACACATTAAAACACTTGTGTGGCCAAAGTAAAATGATTTTCTTTCTGTACAGAAAACAATATTCTCACTTACTTATAAATATTTGTGCATGGTTTGCTTTTTGTAGGGCCACCATCCAACTCTGGGGGAGCACCCGAAATTTACCAACTACTCTTTCGATGTAGAAGAATTCATGTACCTTGTCCTTCAAGCTGCAGACCACGTATCACAACATCCAAAGTGGCCATTTAAGAAAAAACATGATGAGCTATAAATGTGTACAGACTGACTAATAGCCAGACACACAACTAAACCAGCAAAGAAAATGAAAAAACACGCTGTTATTTCCTACCCCAAAATGACTTTTTCTATACCAAAACATATTTTTAAGACAGTACTTAAGTGTTTTATAGTCTGTAAGTATTTTTTGTGATATCTGTGGTATTTATCAAGATATTATTTTTGCACTGGAAACTTTACCTTTTGTAGTTCAAAATTTAGGCATGGAGTAGCTGATGTCATGGAACTTAGGGGGTCTCACTGGGTTGGTGCCACCCACTGCAGTTAACTCATGGTGTCATGTCACGCCCCTGCCCACGGGACCCCTTCCCATACCAGACCAGACACCATCCTTAGCCATGTTTGTTACCAATTTTAATCATAGAGTAATATGTGATAATATAGATGTAAGTTACTCTAAATGTAGTATTTCTTAAATTATATGAATACTAACAGCAAATTGTTTTATATTTCTACATTGAATTGCGACATTATTAATAACTGAGCTGCAGCTTTTTAAATTTTTCTCCTTGTTTTCATTTACTTACTATTTCATCTCAAAAAAGTTACTGATATAGGTTCACAGATACTAATGACCACAATATTATAGCTGAAACACCAGAAAATTTAACAAAATTAGTGACTAGAAAAATACTGACAGTACTTGGCCAGCCTTCAGGCCTGGAAAGGAACTCACTGTCTTCGCCCAACTTTCAACCAAACAGTAGACAGGTATAGGGGGGACAGCAACACTAGTAAGGTGTGCTCACCATGGAATGGTCAGTCACTCAAAATCAAAAGGGCAGCATTTACCTAAGGTAAAGGTGAGAAGGGATGAGAAGGAGGGGGGATGGAACCAGGAAGCACAGGGAGGAAGTGGGATGACTGTGGTTTCATGGAGGAGACTGCGATCACTGAGATGAAACAAAGTAGGATTTGTAGAATGTAAAACTGATGATCTGAGCTATAAACCTTCACTCAATTCACAATAGAAAGTTATTTATATGTGTGTGTGTGTGTATATCTATATAGATAGATAGATAGATAGATAGATAGATAGATAGATATCTATCTATATAGATATATACACACACACATATATATGTATACATACATACACATATGGTGGTGGTTATGTGCCATGGAGTTGGTGCCGACTCAGAGCGACCCTGTACAGGGTTTCTGAGGCTATAAATCTTTACAGGAGCCAACAGCCTCATCTTTCTCCCACGGAACATCTGGTAGTTTCGAACTGCTGACCTTGCGGTTCACAGCCCGATTTGTAACCACTATGCTACCAGAGCTCCCATATACATATATGTATATATACTGGCAGCGAGGAAAACAGCCATGCTTATTTGTAGTGGGTGCAGATGAAACCATGTGATTTATACCATCACTGTGTTGTTGTTGTTGTTGTTAAGTGCCATCGTGTCGGGTCCGACCCATAGCGACCCTGTACAGGGTTTCCGAGGGTGTAAATCTTTACGGGA